GACTTATTGACCTCTTGACAACCTCCCTCCTCCTCCTCCGCCAAGGTCAGAGGTCATTCTGAGGCCGCTGGGGGAATGACTCCAGGGGAAGTGCGGAGGCGGGAGGGCTGGGAGGCGGGAATCCGAGTAGGGTGGAAGGCGAGCAGGAAGGCAGAGTGTGTGCCTTCACCGACAAAGGGAGTTTCTGGATTAGAGACATGTAAAACAGCCCCCTGGACTGTGCACACGCACAGCGTGGCGAGCTACCAGACCGCGAGTCCTAGGAGTCCATCCAAGATACGTGCACACGCGACAGAGAGCCAGGGAGGGATGGAGGTAGGGAGAGAGGGAAGGGAGAATGGAAATCTGTAACTCTCCTGTCCGTACTAACTTGGTTTGAGACTCAAGGAATCAAAATACAGACCTATGGCCCAAGAAAATTGCCCATTTCCCTCTTTCTCTTGACTCACACACAATGGGAATCTTTTACACAAACTTACCATATTGAAGGGGGTAAAGTTTAGATTATTAACATTATGCCAGAAGATTCCCAGCGCAGTTTGAACTTCACCACCTGGTGAAGCCCTAGAAAGCTTTTCTTCCTCCGGACCTCAAAACAGGGTTTTCCTTCTGACCGTTAGCTGTCCACGTTGCACTTGCTGCATCACCAGCCTTTCTTATTTAGGCCCAGTTCAGCTTGAGTTGAAAGGACAAAACTCCATAAACAGAACAAAACCATGAATACCATCATTTGTCACCCGCTATTAATAATAGCCCAGTGAAAGGTTAAACATTTATTGAAGACCTCATCTATACAGAAAATTCAAGAAAAGAAAGGCAAAGAGTTAAAGTAAAAGTAACTTGCATCTCAGCAAGTAAGACAATAGCACAGTGCACACTGAAAGTTTCAAATAAACTGGAGGCAGACCTTTGGGCTCAAATCCCAGTTCAAACACTTAGTATCTGTGACTTGAGCAGGCTCTCTAAGCCTCAGTTTCCTCTTCTGCAAAAATTAAAATAATAATACTGTCCTTTGGCTGTTGTAGAATGATATAAATATATGTGTAGTGGTTGGCATGTGATTAATAAATATTAGTACTTTTTAATGAATAAGGGATAATGAGTGAACAAGAAAGCAAACAAGCCGTAATAGACTTTATAAAGGACATAAAGAGTGGACATAAATCTGGTGCAATTATCCTGAGAAGGCATATAGATTAGCCTGAGAAGAGAGGAGCAGATATTTCAAGGGAATTAAGGTAAGGTTAAGAAGGAAATGTATTAAAGGCCCTAGCAGCAATCAAAAGGAGAAAAGACAAAATCATATTTATTTTCTTTATGTGTTAACATCTCAGTGTTATTTCTTAATAATAACTGTAGCTAATATAATGAGAGAGATATCCCTACTGGTTACAAAATCTGAGATCAATTTATGTCTAAAGTGGGTCTCTATTTTACAGCAGAATCAACTCCAGGGCATCCCTCTGGAAGACTTGGCTGACAGTGCTGCCTAGGAATGTGAAAATTGGAACAATAATGTGCAAAGGAAGGCACTGCTGGATTCTGGAAATGTGTCAGCTGCTGGAGAGCATCCCCCGTGATCCCAGATGTACAAGGAGAAGGCAATATGTGAGTACTCTTAGGAGATCATGATTCAAAATCATCCCTGAGTATGAAGCATGCAAATGCCAAGTAACAACAATCACTAATCATCTGCTATTTGTCTTCGCTATAACATTTATTCATTTGTTCTGTAAATATAGATTGGGTACCAACTCTGCATCAAACATTATTTAACAAGCATTGGGGATGATGTGTTGAAAAGGCAGACATACATGGTCATTATCTTTTTGAAGCTTACATGCCAATGCGGTAAAGAGCAATATAGAAGTCGTAACAGATGTAGCATGTATTGTGGGGAAAAATAGGATATTATGGAATCCATCATTCATGCAAATAACTCGGAAGATTTGGGTAAAACTTGCCTGATGGCGTGATGTTTTAATTGAGATTTGAGAGGTGGGTTAACCTGATGAAAAGTTGAGGGAAGAATAATCCAGGAAGAAGAAATAGTATGTGCAAGTATCTTTGGCAAGACCCAAGAGAGGATGGCATAAATGAAGAATGAAGGAAGAACAGGAAGACTAGGGGACAAGGGTAAGAGTGAGTCCAAGAGTGAAGTGGTGGGGGAGCTGGGGAGGAGCAATTTGGTGCCATTGACCTATTGAAGCAGAGGAGTGACAAGATGAGTTTTACTCACAGTGGAGGAAGGTGGCAATGGCTGTAGGGGATCTCTGATTGCAGGAATCCAGGTGAGAGTTGATGTTGGTCTGAATTAGGCTAGTGACAGTGCAGACAGAAAGAAGTATCTAGAGCTATGTGGGAGAACTGGCTAACTCTGTGACACATGGGATATGGGGAGTAGGGGAGTTGAAGGATTCAAGGATGGCTCATGCATTCTGGTTTGAGCAACTCAGTGGTCATGGTAGAAGAAAGGTGATGGGGATAGCACATTCAGTTCGGGGCATCGTAAGTTTAAGGTGCCAGCCGTCTCAGGTGCACTGAATGCTTGGATATACGCATCTAAGCTCAGAACTGAGGGCTGACTTGGGGCCAAAACCAAATGTCCATATTCCACCCTGACACGTTACTTCCCTTTCTGTCTGATTTTTTCTCTTTAGAACATATTACAATCTAACACATTTAACGTTGTCCATGGTAATTCTATCTTCCCGCATGGAATTAAAGTTCAGAAAAACCAAGAATTTTGTCTGTTTTGCTAGATGCTGTATTCTAGTTCCTAGTCCCTAGAGTAGAAACCTAATACATATATTTTATTGAATACGTCTATATTTGATGATCTTGCACATGCAAACAACTTAAATCATGGGAATATAAGAGACTTCTGTAGGGAGGATGAACAGAATAAGACCAGAGGATCTAGAAGAGAATCTTCTGGAAAAGGACGATTACAGCCAATCAGAAGAGTGAAATTAGAAACGGTCCAAAGGGGAAGAGGAAAACCACCGTGGTGTGACTTAAGCCAAGGAAAGACAATATTCTGATGGAGAAGGATTACACAACTGTATTAAATCATCAAAAACGTTTTAAAATTTTTTGAATAGATATTATATGCTGATAGTATAAAATTCAAAAGGTGAGCCACTGTGTGCCTCTGCCACTTGATTCCCTCCCTGGAACCTCACACAGTTCAGCTGGGAGGCGGGTAAGGGGGTATTCAATGCCGTAGCCTTTCTCCTGTTGAAGAACAAGTGGGGGATATGCCCGCAGGTGGCAGGTCGTCCTCCCTGACCTCCTGCTGCTGGTGCAGCATCAGAGGTGATGATGACGGAGGAGGAACATGGGCTAAGTTTTGCCAAATGGACTAAACCTTTGTATTTATTATCCTTTTTTAAAATGAATAATGAATCTCTCAGCTTTAACTATTGATTGGGGTCTTTGTAAATAGTGTGCAGAAATTTCAGTAATATTGAAAAGTAGGGAGAAAGTCAGAAATAATATATGGAAAGAATATATACATTAATTGCTTTCAGTACAAATTTACTAATTACTAATAAAGTGTTGTCCAGTATGTGGCTTCTTGGACCAACTGTAATACACAAACAAGGAACATTTAAAATAACCTCTCTATATATCTTATATATGAATGCACCTTTCATTATTTTTTGTGTGCTGAAGAATATTCATATGGTAGTTAAATTTTATCA